ATATTTTAAAAAACGTTTTCTGACATTTATGTTTAAGAAGTAGCATGCACGGCAAAGCGCCTGCCTGGCAAGCGCAAGGTCGTGAGTTCGGTTCCTGGTACCGGAGAAAAAAAAAAAAAAAAAAAAAAAAGAAATAAAAAGGATATGTATAGGAAAGGAAGAAGTCAAACTATCATTATTTGCATACAAACATGATCCTCCCTCTCAAATCCATCACAAGACCCCTAGAATGATAACCAATTTCATTAATAAAGCAGGATACAATATCAATGCACAAAAATCTATACTGTTTGTATACACCAATAATGAACTCACGGAGAAAGAAATTAGGAAAAAAAGTATTATTTATAATAGCCTCCAGAAAAATACTTGGGAATTAAGCTAAACGAAGAAGTAAAAAAAAAAAAAAAAAAAAAAAAACTTCTATTATGAAAACTATAGTACTCTGGAAAAAAAGATTGAAAAAGACATAAAAAATGGAAAGTTATCCCCTGTTCTTGGATAGACAGAACTAATAACGTAAAAATGGCTGTACCTCCAAAAGTGATAATACAGATTTAACACAATCCCAACCAAAACACCAATTAAATACTTCACATAACTAGAGAAAATAGTCTTGAAATTCTTATGGAACCAGAACAGATCAAGAATAGCAAAAGCAATCCTGGGTAAAAAGAGCAAATTGGGAGATATCACAATCCTGGATTTAATGTTATATTACTTAACTACTATAAAAACAGCGTGGTACTGGCACAAAGACAAATAAGAGGATCACTGGAACAGAATAAAGGAGGCAGAAACAATCCCAAGCACATTCAATTATTTGATCTTTGACAAAGGAGCCACAAACCTATGCTGGAGGAAAGACAGCCTCTTTAATAAATAGTATTGGGAAAACTCACTATCTACATGCAGCAGATTGAATCTAGATCCATATCTATCACTCATGTGTTAAGCAAAAATTAAAATGGATCAAAGATCTACATGTTAAAGCAGAAACACTTAACCTGCCAGAACATAAAACAGGTAATACTCTTGAAATCATAGTGTAGGCAAGGACTTTCTAAACAGAGCCCTGCTTGCACAGGGAATCATATCAAGAATCAACAAACAGGATGGCATCAAATTAAAAAGTTTCTGTACAGCAAAAGAAATGGCCAACAGAGTGAAGAGACAACCTCCAGAATGGGAAAAATATCTTGCCAGCTAAACTCACCTTTGAAAAAAAAACCTTTTCAAATTACTTAGTCACAATCATATTAGGAGAAAGTTGAGAGTTTGACTCATTGAGTTTGTGTGTCTCTGAATGTGCATGGGTTTGGGGTGTCAGAGCGTGTGTGTGACAGCTAAGTCCTCAGCATCTCCACGGTGGGAAGCCAAAAGATAGCATCTAAAACTGAAAATTGAGAACCAGAAGTAAGTGTGTTACTCAATTTCGTGGAGGTATGTACCAAAAAATTCTGCTATGAGTTGAAGGCAGTTGCCTCTGGGGAGAGGGAGATAGAGGTGTGGAGTAAACCACTTAAGTTTTTTTATAAGATTCTCTAAACTATCTGCAAGTAACACTTTGATTTAAAAAAAAAAAAAAAAAAAAGCAAAACTAATCCACACCCAATGCAAACAGAAAATTGCTGAGCCTTCCCTGGAAGGCTCTATGTCACAGGCTGTGGGCACATGGGGCCTATGCCAACCTGAGTCACCTGCTCCCGTGAGTTCCTGGCTCAGAGTTCCTGGCCTGCATTCCCGTCCCCAGACCAAGTGGGGCACGCAGCGCTGGTGGCCTGTAGGGGAAGGAGACACATCTGTAGGGGCGGAGGTTCCCTGTTTACTTGCACAGCCACGGTCATTTTATGCGTATTGGAAAATGCAATCAGTATATCAAACCTGGAGATTATTGCTTAGGACCAAGCCAAGCTCATTAAACCAAAGGACTTAAGAAAAATACAGTCAATCCCTGGTTTCACATTCTCAGATTCAACCAACCATGGATAGAAAATATTAGAAAAAAACTGTGCCTTACTGAATATGCACAAACTTTCCCCATCATTATTCCCTAAACAATACTCACAACAACTGTTTACATGGCATTTACATTGTAGTATTTGGCATTCTAAATAATCCAGAGATGCTTTAAAGTATTCAGGAGGATGCATGAAAGTCATCCACAAGTACTACCACATCTTCCGCAATGGGTTTTAGCATCCACAGATCTTAATGTCCCCAAGAAGGGAGGCTGGGACCAAGCTCCCTCAGAGACTGGGGGACAACTGCACTGGGATGACAGCAGAGGAGATGAATGGAAACACAGAGAGTAGCAATTAAGTAGGATGGGAATGCCTGGAGACACAGGAGACCCTGGCCTAGTTTAATCCCTTGGGTTAGTACTCAGGACCCCAATCCTGGAGCAGAAGAGAGAGGGAGAGGGAGAGGAAGAGGGAGAGGGAGAAGGAGAGGGGAGGGAGGACCCACCCAGTCCGTGTCTTATAGAAAGACAGTGGAGGTATGACCCCAGCTCTCTGACAGCATATGGCCAAGATGCAAGAAGCCGAGGCTGGGCTTGCCCTGCTGCTGTGTGAAATGCAGCTCCTGTGTGAAGCCCTGGCTTTCTCTGCACAATGGTGCTCTGCACAGATCACGCAGATCACGAGGATCAATGATCACAGAAAGTCCTACTGGAGAGCTTATGGCTACACCAGAAACAAGGGCCATGATGAGAGCAAGCACTTACATGGGGTATGCAGTACACTGAAAAGCCTTCTAAGGACTTTATATACGTTGACCTTCTTTTTCCTTACACATCCTAGGAGATGGTGTGACAGCCAGCCTGCAACACAGTTCCCAGGGACTTTGGCTTCCTTTAGTCACGCTCCTGTGTGGTCTCCTCCCAAGCAGAATAGGGTTGACCAGGGGACCAAGAGGTACAGGAGTAATAATGGAGTGTGACTTTCATGCATGGATCAGAAAAGACATTTGGACTTCTTCCTTGTTCTCTGTTGGATCAATTGTCCTGAGGAAAGCCAGCTGCCATGTCATGAGGACACTCAAGCAGTCCTACGGAGAGATCTATACGGTGGAAACCTGAGTCCTGCCAGCCGCCAACAAGACCTGGCAGGGCAGGTGACACGCTTCATCTCCCAATGAAGCCATATGCAGCAGGAAGGCAGGCGCGGGCCTTGCCTATTCTGCACCACACCCTTGAGCCTTGAACAGTGCTGACACACAGTAGGGGCCTCATACATTTCGGCTGACATTTCTTCCTCTTTCTGTTGACAGTCTGCCTCCCCACCAGGCAGGGCCCTCCCTGGGGCTGGCACCATGTCTGATTCATTTTGGCTCTCACAGGCCCAGCACAGGGCTGCAATGTGATTGTGGAATGAGAGGGTGATCAAGATGTAGAAGCTACTGGCAGGAACCCCTGGGTCTCCTGGCCAGCCTTTTGGGGGAGCCGTGAGGGCTAGGAGTATGCTAAGACACGATGGCTTCCAGGCCTGGGGCTAACAGCGCCCATCTTTAGGTGGGGTTAAAGTGCCAGCGAGCAGCCTAACAGTGGGCCTTGGCACCTGCAAGCTCGTCTTGTTTAGCGGCCCACGCTAAGCTTCCAAACCCTCTTCTAAAGGAGGGTTGTGAGGGCTGGGGATTTAGCTCAGCGACAAAGCGCCTGCCTGGCAAGCGCAAGGTCGTGAGTTCGGTTCC